GCACACATGCATCCCCGCACACATGCATCCCCACACACATGCATCCCCGCACACATGCATCCTTACACACATGCATCCCTGCACACATGCATCCTTGCACACATGCATCCCTCACATATGCAACCTCCTCACACATGCAACCTCCTCACACATGCATCCCCGCACACATGCATCCCCGCACACATGCATCCCTCACAATGCATCCTTGCACACATGTATCCCTGCACAATGCATCCCACACACATGCATCCTCCTCACACATGCATCCTCACACACATGCATCCTCACATACATGCATTCTCACAAATCGCTGATCCTCTGCCTCTGGTCACACACTAATTTTCGAAAACCCTAAGTGTGAGAATCAGCTTGGTTATACACAGGCACACTGGTTCAAATTATTTCATCCCATGCCTTTATACCGGCAGAAGAATTTCTCTAGGTGCTCGGATTATGACATAAAAGCATGTCCCTCACCAGAAGTTTAAGAACTGGTGGGGAGAAATTGAGAGATGGCTTAGCCATTAAGCACTGCTGCTCTGGTAGAAGCTCCGGGTTCAGTTCACAGCACCAACATGGCTTATAACCACATATAACAGGGGATGCAATATACTCTTCTGGCCTCTGTGGTCTGCATGCCTGTGGTACACATTACAAATAAGCAAGTAAATAAATCCCCCCTTTTAAAAGTTCAGAGTTTAAAAGCAGTTTTAGAAGTTATCCTCAGGCCCATCTTCAGAACAAACCTTTCTGTGGTGACTGCTGGGCTTTGTTTTTTATCCAGGTCACAAGGAGGAGCCCAGAGAATCCCATTGGCTCAGTCCAGGGCCTTCACCACATATCCGTCTTTAGAAGTGCCTTCTGTCCTTGCTTCACTCTAGTAGAGCTCCTACCCTTCCACCTTCTAGCATGGCCTAAGACAGGGTTGAGGCAAGGCCCACAGCTGCCAGAATTGAAGCAAAACTCTAGGCATCCTCTAAGAACTTCCCACAGATAGGGCTGGTGCTGGGGACAGAGACCTGGGGCTTCACGCAAAGCCTCAGTCTTCTCAAGGCCAGAGAAGCCCATTTCCCAAGAAGCACAGAAGAGAAGTGCAGGCATCCTGTTCCTTCTCCAATCCCATGATCACACAGAACACCAGGGTGACTCAGAGCCAGGCCCGGTCCTGGCCAGATGCCCAGGCTAACAAGCTAATGCAGGAGCTGAAGTACTCTCACGCCAAGTTTATAAATGCCTCCAAGAGCTGTGCATACTCTTGCCTACAGAGAACCATTTGTCCGGCACTCAGCACATCTAACAATACGAAGGAATGAGAATTTCCACAGAACTAAGACAATACACAACCAATGTGCCCAACTTTAAAAGGTTGCAGTCATTTGAGCTAAAATCTAACATCACTGTGCTTCATCTTTTTTTTACACAGTAAACCATGTATTGCATGTCCCAAGTCTTGCCAAGACCCAGGATGGCAATTCCCTGTGTTCTTAGCTGAGTTATGCTTTGTACTTAGCAGCCAGAAGACATGGGTGCAAACAGCAGGCAGAGAGCATCATGGGTACCCATGTTCTACCCCAGGCTACAGGAACATTCTAAACACTCAGAATTCCATGGTTGATGTCATTTTCTACGATCTCCTTTGCTCTTAGCTAGCAAAGTCATCTGAATGGGTTAGGTGCTGGCTAAGTCATAGACCCACAAGACCAGCACATACAGTGCATCCGTTCCTTCAGTCAGTGCCCGTGATCAGACACCTTCCTTGCCTCTGTTTCTCTGTATCCTCCAACTATGGTATCATGCAGGCCTCTGTCAGGAAGACTTTCACACTCCCTAGAACCTAAGGCCTGTCCCTAGACTCAGAGCACCCCCAGCATAACACAGACAGGCAATGTCCTACAAGGAGTTACACATGCAAACCCTGCCTCTTTAACTTCTTACAGAAATCCCTCTCACACAAGCACCTCCTTTATTTCCTCCACACGTAACACTTGTTGGTTCAACTTGTCTATTTTATAAAACCTTCGGATTCCCATAGGTTTAAGATTAAGATCTTAAAGTTTAAGGACAAGAAGTATTTCATAAAACCATTAGAGGCGGGGGGTGGGCTGGGCTGAGAGATGGTTGAAGCCAGTCTTTAAATTAGTCCTGATGCCTAGACAAGATCATCTCTGGGGAAAGAGAGGGGCAAGGAAAATCAAACTGGTGAGGAGCTTGGCACCATGTTAGCACTGGATTCAGAGGAAAGGCAGTGAGCTGGCCAAACCATCCTCAAGCAGGAGCCCTGGGGTGCAGGCTCTGGAGATAACCCCATCATCCCCCAGAAGCCTAGAAATGAAAATGATCTCCTTGTTCTTCCCTAAATCCAATAATCAAACAAATCATAATTCAACTATTCCAATTTCCCAGTCTATGAAACAATTCTGCTGATAATACCCCATACCCTGAACAACTTCAGTTTCTGGAGAAAGAGAAAGGGGGAAGAGGGATGGAAGGAGGCAGAAATCATTTTATCTTATTCACTTCTTCAAATTGTTTTTCTTGAATAGGGTGGGACTAATAACCCAGAATACCTGACTCTGCCATGGTACGTGGGCTCTAAAACACATATATATGAGGTACTTCACTGGAAGGTGAATGAAATGAACCTGTCAGGTCAGTGTAGTTAGAAATTCCAGTGAGACACCCTGAGACATTCTGGCTAAGGCTGGCACCAGCTTCTGAGAGCTGTCTCCATAGCTTCATGGCTAGCGGGCAAATTCTGGACTCTGACTTTCTGAGAGTTCACTTTAACTGACATTTAGGTTGGGGGAAATGTTGGAGATTGGGACGTTTGCCTTCTGTCTTCTACACTTTGACTTGTTTGGTTGGTTTAGACTTGGCAAGATTTTATAAGGTAATATAATTTAAAGGGCCCGGTCTAAGGCACATGCCTCGTGACTGATACCATCATGGCCATTGGTTTCTATGTCCACATGTGTGCTGGGGAGGCTAATCTACCACATGTGCACCTGTGCCAATCTCTCTCTCCAAGAGGGACTGCCTTGAAATCGAGCCAAGTTAGCTTTCCCTGGAGATAGGAACCATAAGGACCATAAGGTTACAGCATTCCTTGACAACTCCCAGCCTCTTGATAATCCAATTCACTTATTGGGAGGTTGCCATGACTCACAGGTGGAGAAAGCATTGGTCTAAGAAGCAGAAAGTCTAGATTCCAGACCTGATCTTGCCATTCTGTTACTTT